GGATTACAGGCGTGAGCCACCGCGCCCAGCCTGTAATACATTATTAACCATTCTCTATAAGTTAGGTTTGTTCTCAAACTCCAGTTATCGTTGGATAGTTCCTTTTGTACTGAATATTGATTTTAGCCTGTGTTACATCGTTCTTCTCTTAACAATGCTCTGGTGACATCCAGTGCATTTGGAGCTTTGTAGAAATGTATCTTCCAAAGCCATTATTTATTTTTTGTGATTATACACTGAAATTTTAACCTTACTTTATACGTTGTGCTTTGAAATTCACGTTTTAAATATTATCTTGTTCTTATATTTATTTTTATTCACTTTAAGATCTCAATTTATCCATCTTTGTCTTTTTAGTATCTGGTAGTCACAAATATCTTTAGTGTTTCTCCATTGCGGTTTTAAGCAGTTTAGACATAAAGTACTGAATAATAATCTCTTCCCAAAATTTCATACTTTTAATTTTCTTCCTGATTTTATTATGAAGTAGCTAAAATAAAATCAAGAGGGAATAAATATATTACTTTTAGTCCAATATCATTTAGAACATTTTACTATCTTGAGTTTTTTTTTTTTTTTACTCTTGGATGATTTTTTACAGCTGTCTTGTAGACGATTTAACATTTTTTGAGCATCTATGTGTAGAAAACAATTGCTTTTAGACTGATAAATATTGGATAAACTCTAATCATACTATCAATCCTTTGTACATGAGTTGGAATATTATCAATAATATTTCATGTTAAAGTGATATTAGGACTTAGAAAAATATTTTGATCAGAAAAATTGTACATGATAATTCCATTCCTGCAGACCAAATGTATAATTTAAAAATCTTCATTGCACAGAATATCCATGATGAGCAGGGACCTTTAGTTCGTGTAGAAATATTTAGTATTCTGGAATAAATCTTGGAAAAGTCCAAAATCCTTTATTTTGTTGTCTTTCAACCTTCTCTTTCTTTTAGTTTTTCTTTTTGTCTTCTTACTGTTGCTTCTTATGACGGTTTCAACTGCCTTGATGTTAAATACCTATTGGATTTTGAAGACATTACTTTTTGGAATGTTGTGGAACTTAATGGAAGGGAACAAAGGGTTTCTGGGACTCTGACTTCTTATGGTTTGCTGTTAACATAGTTTTAAATCTTTTTATCACTTAGGAAGCAGTAGTGTAATTATGATCACATTTTATCCCTCTTGCCAACTGAAAGTAATCTGAAAGCAGAATTATTTTGTGCTTGATTTTATATGTTTCATAATCCCTGTCCATGTTTAGAATTTTATTTGGCTATTAAAAACACATTACATAAAATGAATCATTTTAATTTTAGTCCTCAACTTTAAGAGCTTTTGTCTTTTTATATGCTTCTCTTTATTATACTGTTTGAATAGAATGTGGAGTTTTCCTTTGTCAAAGTAATATTACTCTTATATTTCCTACTCTGTCTATGTCTACCTGGTTCTCAGGTATAACTTTAATTACTGAATTCTCCTCCTAAATGTTTAATTGGTTTTTATAAAATACCATAAATAGAAACAAGGGTACTTTTCACCACCTAGCATTGTATTTGACCACTTATCATTTCAATCAGTTTAGTTCTGTGTTTCTCCAACTCTCTAATTGATATTCAAATTTCATTCTGGATATATGCTTTTCACAGTGAGAAAGTCTAAACCTGTTTCTTGTATGTTAATGCTTTTCACTATCCTAACTATGGTAATGCTTTTAGCTATCAACTATTTCTTAAATCGAAATGCGTCATAAATTAGTCATTAAGTACTGTGAGTTCTAGAGCTCCCTGGATCAAATCCTCCCTCTACCAATTATTTTATGTGTAGCCTTTGGTAAAGTGTTTGTTATTCAGTGCCTTGGTTTTCATTTATGCACGATAAATGTGAATTCTACTGCATAGATTTTTTTAATCAAGAAAGTTAATATTTATAAATTGTTTATCATAAAGTCTAGCAAGTGATAAAAACATAATAAAATTTAGTTCTTATTATTCCCAAGAGGAAAAGAAATTAATGATTGCAAAAAGAAAACCTAATATGTCAGAAAGTCATTATGGTCTTCCACATTCATCTTATTTTATGTAAAGAGTATCTTTTATAGAGTCATTTTCAGATTAACTCAGGATGTCTCAATATTTTGAACGTTGTATGGCAGAGTAAAAGATCTAAAAGTCAGTTTTTACATGTTTTAGAAAGTCAAATTCCATGAATGTGGAAAAAAGTTTGGGAGTACAAAGATTAAAGTCCCCTCAAGGAAAGTCTAGACTACCTTATGTTAATAGTTGTATCTTTCCGATATTTACAAGTTGCCTGAGATCTCTCAGAGGTCTGAGTAGGTGTTTGAAATCTTTGTGTGTTTCTTTTCACTAATAGTGTTTTTCTTCAGAAGAAGTACCCAGTAATATTTTGATGATGGTTTAAAATCAATTTGTGTTATAGTCCTACTAACGAAGGAAGTAAACCATTTGTATAGACAGTGTTATAGAATAACTTTTAAAATGTGCTTTCTTAGCAAGTAGAGAAGACTGTAGTCACCAGTCTTCATGAGACATTAAATAGGGTCCTTACGGGTCTCTAAGAGTGTGCTATCCTGCCAGAAATCGCTGAATTATCAAAACCCAGTCTCTGGCTTCAAAAGTTTGAGATAAAATGAAGAATATGAGTCATACAATGAAAGGGAAGGTATTATAACCAGCACAAAGGAGGTAAATAATAGTGAGGTTGAAGTCGAAAGAAAATCACTTCCTATTTGACTTTTTGAAGGAACACCTGAAGAAGCATGGTGTTTTCAAAGGGTTTTAAGTGGGTAAATTCCCCCTGGGCGAATATTGAGAATAATAGACATTTCTGTGAGGAAGAAAATGAACAAAATTGAAGACACAGAAAAGCATCAATATGACTGGAAACATGGAAAAGTCCACTTTGGTTAAAACATATCGTTCACATAGAATAAAGGCAGAAAAAGTAATGTGAGAAAATCTCTTGATTTTGACTCCTAGACTTAGTGACTTTGAGCAGATTAAGGAATTTGGATTTCTCTTTAGAATTAATTGGGAGCTATCAAAATATTTTGAGCAAAATAACTCAAGGTCTTTTCAAGAATGTTGAATGGGAGGACAAACAAGCTACAGCAATAATCAAGGATAGCAGCAATTGTAAAAAGTGCCTTTTAGGCTGTTATCAGTAAGAATATGAAAGAAAAGATAGATATGCAAAAACATCAATGTCATAATAAATGGTCATAATTTTGCCTTTAGACTTAAGAAGCACTACAATCTAGATTTAATTAATCTACTTGCACTTTGGAATCAGATAATAAAACTCACAAGAGAGCCTTGTAGAATCTAGGCAGGAAAGGAATCCTTAACATATCTTTAAAAACAGAAATTGCTCTAAGTACTAAGGACGAACAATAATGAAATTAAAATGTATTATGGAAACATAATGCATACAAACATAAAAACTGTATTGGAGATTATAAAGAAGAGATTATTCACAAATGATAAGACTTGTAAAGGATCAAATTATATAGATGTAGGAATGCAATATGTTTCCAGAAACAGATTATATATACTAATAAAGAGAAAAATATAAAATATTTTCTGTCCACACAAGATCTTACTTTTCTTGTAATATTTTATACATTTTCAATTCATAAAATTACCAAAGAAGACTACCTCAATTGTTTGCTCATTTTTCTTGATTTCTTTTTTCAGACATGAGCAGGTTGTCTTCTTACTGTTGCTTCTTATGACGGTTTC